GGGTATGGATTAGCAGACTCGCAAGATTAAAGATCCCAGGGGTCTCGAGTCTTCCCTATGGTGGTCATTAGGCCAATAATTCCCTACTACAGTATATTTTGTTTAAGTTTATCAGGGGATACAGGGCAAGGAGGGGAAGGTCAGTTATAAGTTCTCAAACTTGGATAAGGGAACCATGGCTGTGGGAGAATATTTGGCGCAGATACAAGGCGGTGCTACACAAAGGAAAAATCACTACAGTTAAGAGCATATTGATCTAGCTAGAATAATTTCATTGAGTCCATGAAGTACATATCGAATCATAAAGGGGAAATTATGGGAAGTGGAAAAAAATGACAGGCCAGAAAGCAGTCCTGAATGAGGGACTGCCTGACAGAGAAAACACCGGGTCATATCCCACAACCCGAAAAGGGGGGAACAAAGTAAAAAGATGAGCGAAAAAATACATGAAGGGGCTTAAACAGGGGCTGAAAGATGAGCCTAAACTCCCAAAGTGCAAAGTCAAATATTCCCGTCACCCAGAGTAAGGTGCAATGTCATGTGCGTGGTGAAAAAATATAATGTGCAGAGGCAACATCGTCTGTCGCCCATCCCGAAAAGAAAATTAAACTCCCGCGTAAGATCGTTGTCGTCAGTTGTACAAGCTCGTAAGAGGTCATCGCAAAATGTCATCACGCCGAAAATAGCAAGGTAAGAGGTTCCTCTATCATGCTTTTTGTTTGGAAAGAAAACGCCGCCGTTGCCAGTATGAAACAGTTGGAACAAGGCCCAATGGACAGCGCGAATTGAAATATATGGCCGGCTGCCCATGTTTTGTCGGTGGATGGTAGAGATATTTTAAGGGTCAACCAAGAACTCGTTGGACAAAGTGTCAATCGGGTCCGCATAGGGGTCATCAAGGACGTCAAGACCGGAGAATGGCTTCCCGGGCAGATCAGGATAGAATGACGAGGTGGGGAAATCGGATGAGTCCACATAATACGGGTTGGAGAAATCGACCAGGCTTTGAGTGGTAAGTGTGCCGAATTCCTCCTTGACCTGCTCAGAGGGATCTTGTGTCATGAAGAGATCGATCTCTGATCCGACGGACGATTCGGCAAGGGTTGGTGCGGTGTGAGGCGAGGACATGTCGTGAGGGGTGAGTGGCGAGTCGCTGTACAGGTATTCCTGGGAGGAGTCCATCATGATGTGAGGGCTGTATTGGGCCATTGCTTGTTCGTATCGAGCATGGGCAAGCTGCGGAGGCGACAAGGGCGCGGGGAGCATATCATCTTCGAACTTGGATGGGACTTGATGTCCAATAGGAGTGGGGGACGAGACAGTGTGATCAATACTTTCACCAGGAGAAGTTGGCGGGGTGTAAGCGGAAGTGGCGTTGGATGGGGCATAGTTCGGAGACGTGAAGACAGGACAGTTTTGCGGAAGAGTAGCCTCGCATTGAACTGGGGAGGATGACATGGGTCGATCAGCAGCACGTTGGCGAGTGCGGGTGGACTTAGCCTGGCGAGTTTCCATGTCGGGGCGGTTCTTCTTTGGAGGACGTCCTCGACGTGTGGTCTTAGGGATATTGCCAGTCATGCCGCCCACGCACATGTCGCGTTGCCGGTGGCGGGTCAAGGCATCGTGTCGAGCAAAACGGGCTCCACAGGCACAAATGTAAGGCTTGTTACCGGTGTGGGTCTTCAGGTGGCGTTTCAGGTCATGGCCTCGGACGAACTCCTTCTCGCAAACATCGCATTTGTAAGGCCGATCGTCAAGGTGGGTCTGCACATGAGATTTGATATTCTCCTTTCGTCCAAACTCGCAATTGCAGCTTGGATAAAGGCACTGCCATTTGCCGTCGGCATTGGGACCAGAAATGTACTTGGCGATTTGGTCATTGGAAACGCCAGTCTCACGTACTGATGCCTTCACACGGGCATCCAGGTCAAACTCATCCACACCTTCTGGGAGCTCTGGAATGGAGTCCTCGAAGGGGGATCCGGGGGAGCTGACAGGTTGGTATTGACTGCTAGATGGTGTGGTGGCGGCCTCGTCGAAGTTCTGAGGTGACACACCACGGGAGCTTGGAGAAGGCATGGCAGCCAACTCAGTAAACGAGGTGAGGGAAACTGAGTCCGCGGGGGAAGCCATCTGATTCTTAGCGTGAAGAGGACTTGAAATGGGTACACTCTGCAGGGATTGGGCTCTCTGCATTGCTGCGCTGACAGGGGTTCGGGGAATAGAGAAACTTTGGGACTTGGTAGGGGTTTGGTCATTGTGGTACATAGGGAAATCAAAAGAGGCCTTCATGGGAGTCGCATCGGGGGTAATTGGGGATGTGTCTTGTTGAATATTAGTTAAACTCGGTTTCAAGTTGAATGCTTGCATAAAACTTACAAGAATGGAAAGGGTTCATCTTGGGAGAAATAGCCTTTGGTTGAACAATAGGCTGATGTTCCGGCCACTGATATAATGAAACATCTTCTCTCTTGTTCATTGGGAAGCTGCGTTCCTGCTGAAGATGGTACAGGGTGCTGTGCATCGAAGGCGTCTTTCCTGCATTATCACTAGCAGACCTTGAGAGGGCCGGAGCATATGTGTTGGACGAGACATCAGCTGTCGCTGCGCCATACATGGCCTGTAGCTCTTCCTCGCTTAACATATAAGACATTGTGTTGTAAGAGCTCTGTACGGAAGCACCACCTTGGGAGAAGGGTAGTGTAGCCTGGCGCATGTGCGCTGGTAGCTGGTGGGCAGCACCAGACTGATGAGAGAAACCTGATTTTTCGTTAAAATAGTCCCGCAGCTCTGGGACTGTCTTCGGCGCAGCACGTCGGGTGATTCGATTGGCTGAGGCAAGTTGAGGACCAAGAGCAGCATAGTCCACGGTTTGCCCGCGACGGTGGGAGCGATAAGTCGGAGCACCGGACATAGTGCGTGTTGTTTGTCCGGCTTCAAAGGGCTGCGAGAGTTGACGGCGGTGGTGACCGGGGTGTGTCGATGTAGGGTTTGAGGATATCATGGCTATCCAGCCGATCGAGTATACGGTCCCTGGTCACAGTGTCAGTCTGTGAACGTCACTAACGAAAGCAACAAACGCGAAAAGAGGAAAAGAAAGGTTGCTAGAGCCGCCTCGAGAAGATAGCTTAGCTAGAAGGTTTTTGTGTTTTGATTTGTTTCAAATGCTCACGGCTCTTGCGACTGGAGAAGTTGTTCACAGAGATCCTTGAAGAAGAGTATCAAAGAAAAGAGCAGAAGTGAAACTCAATAAGACTAGAGCTCGAAGGCGGGTCACAGCTGAGCTTTGGCGCTATCATTGCGCCTGTGAACCACAACAAGGCCGATGTTGGCATGGCAACGACAATGCGGGAGCCAGCTGTGACGAGGGTGGGCCCACAGAGGAGCCGCCCACTTGATCGATTATGATCTTTCGCCCGACGATCCAGGCCTTGCATTGCATGCCCTGCTTTGCAATTGTATATCCCGTCGCTGTCCTTGAGGTTTCTCGCGGATGCTCTGCAAGGGCCCTCAATCGTCCTGTGAGGAGGGCAGGCATAGAAGGGTATCTGGTCGTTTAACCGTTCGAAGGGAGACTCCTACCATGGTCGCCATGGGGACACCCCTGTTTAGACAATATGTAGTAAATATTCGATCGACTCGAACGATCTGGGATTGTGCTCCTCGCTCTTGGTGCCCGAATTCGATGTCATTTGTCGCCAGATATCCCAGGCATCAAATAACATATCACGTGAGCTGGGTTAGGTCATCTTATGCACGTGATCTTCTGGAATGCTGACGAAACCGAATCTCGGAACGCGGTATTAGATTGTTCCTGTTTGTCTGGTTTGTCACACACTATCCCACGTGACCGCACAACGATTTTAGTCGAGTCCCACCCACTCCGAATTTCTTCAATCTTGCAAGGTTGAGGAAGACAAGTCTGTCGAGGTGAGTTTCGAAATCCCTATACCTAGTGTCTTGAGGAGAAATCCCTCTCGAGATCAACACTCCCAACATGCGCCAACAGCGCTATTCGCGCGGTTGAACCGAGAATCCTCGCACTGCGCAAAAATTGGAATCACCAACTAACTCTCCTCCAGGCCTTCATAAAGATGCAGATCTTCGTCAAGACCCTTACGGGTAAGACTATCACCCTTGAGGTGGAGTCCTCGGACACCATCGACAACGTCAAGTCCAAGATCCAGGGTATGCATGAACTCCGAACATTATCGCATGGGAACAAGCACTAACGATGCCTTGCAGACAAGGAGGGTATCCCCCCTGACCAGCAGCGTCTGATCTTCGCTGGTAAGCAGCTCGAGGATGGCCGCACTCTTTCGGACTACAACATCCAGAAGGAGTCGACCCTTCACCTCGTCCTCCGCCTGCGTGGTGGTGGTAAGAAGCGCAAGAAGAAGGTCTACACCACCCCCAAGAAGATCAAGCACAAGCACAAGAAGACCAAGCTCGCCGTCCTGAAGTACTACAAGGTCGACGGTGACGGAAAGATTGAGCGTCTCCGCCGCGAGTGCCCCGCCCCCGAGGTATGTTTTCTTCCTAGTCTTATCCGCAAATGTGGAGTCCCAGTGCTAACCCTATTCTAGTGCGGTGCCGGTGTCTTCATGGCCGCTATGCACAACCGCCAGTACTGCGGTAAGTGCCACCTCACCTACGTCTTCGACGAGTCCAAGTAAATGGACTATGTTTAGCTGGGATATAATTCGGGTTCGAGTTTGAGTGTGGCTTTGCTGGACTGCAACGAGAATTGTCGGATATGTCACGGTTGACGTTACGGTTGATGGTACTTTACGAGACCTGGACTGTGAATAGAAAAAATTCAAAACTTCGGCTTATGCCAATCTCAATTGTTTCGCGTAAAGATAAAGACTGGATAATTTGCAACGTAATGATAGTTCGTTAACGAATGGCTATGGACAACATCCTCGTCCAAAATGCACACTCACCACCACGACCACCCATTGTAAGGCTTCCGTGGGCATAGGGATCTGCATGATATCTTACTGCATCCCGTTTCGCACATTGTCGTACTTACTCTCTGGGAAGTGAAGAGCATTGTCACTATGGTCAAGCGTACTAACGCCACCAATTCCATCGACGAAGGTGCCAACCAGACTGCCATCTCGGGCATTGGCCTCCTTGCCTCCTTTGTCACCGCTACTCTCCCACCACATACCCCCACCAAGGCCTTGACGCCGGGCGAAATCTGCCTTGATGTGGGCCATTTGGACGTTGTCGTAGGAAACCATTGTACGGGAACCACTGTCATAGCACCAAGATGCGCCTGCCTGCGTATCAATGTTCTCGGCTGCATTTGGACGCGGCAAGGCCTTGTAGTCCCAGACTCCATTCTCCCAGCTGCCGGCGCCCACTCCATTGAACGGTCTGCCAGGTCCATCCGTCTCCGCGAACGCGCGTCCATACAGCGGCATACCCAGAACTATCCGGTCAGGCGGCACACCGTTTCTGGTAATGTAATGGTCCAGGGCGGCAGCCGTTGAAAATGGAGTGGAGCTGGGATTAGAGTCGGATGGCCAGATATTGGCTTGGTGACCTGCAGCAGTATCCCAGCTCCCCGCATAGTCGTACGCCATGAGATTCCAGAAGTCCAGCAGGGGGGATCATATCGCGGATCTTTAATCTGTTGAAATTGCTTGGTCCGGCAGGACAGGCAATCGTCAGATAGAAATGGCGATTGGGACCTGCGGCACGATCGAGGTGCTATTTACTTGTCAGTAGTGCACTTTTCAAGGCATGACGTTGGGGGGGGGACTGGACATACTTCTCTGCAAGCGCGGAGCAGATCAACAAAGTTCTGGGCTTGGCCATCATCTGCATCGCGGTGTCATCATCCAAGAACTTGAAAGTGATTGCATGGGGAAATGCTGTTTACCTTGAGGATACTCCCAGTCGATATCGATTCCTTGCATACGAGATTAGCGTCAAGGATTCATTCAATAAGCAATCAATATATAGAATCCGAGGGCATACCATCAAGACCCAAATCAAGGACCAAGCGGGTCGCCGACTCGGCAAATCGATTCCGACCCTCAGGTGAACTCGCTGGCTGAGCAAAATTGGAGGAGTAAGTCCAGCCACCAATGGAAAGCAAGACCTTGAGCTTGCGGTGTTGCTTCTTCAAAAGATACAGCTGCTTCATGCATCCATAAACATTGTTACCGGTATCGTTCCAGGAGTCACTAGGATAGTGCTTCTCAATGTCGGACCAGCTGTCGGTTAGGAACCTGCAGAAGTAGTATGATAAGCTTTCTTTCTTGTAACATGGTCCGACCGGGGACCCTTACACTTCTCCCGACTCGGGACGGATGTTGGCAAATGCATATAGCACATGCGTCAACTTGTCGGCTGGCAAATCCTGGGGGTTGTAGTTCCGGCCGTAGATAGCCTGCGGAGTCGGATATGGTTAGCAGCTGGGTCGATCGATCGACAATTATATCCAGGGATCCATATATCTCAGCTGTTGATGACCGCTTTGATCATGGATGAGCCGTGCTGCAGGGATTTGTGAAATCAGAAAGGACATACCCAGTTAACAAAGTAAGACACGGATCGCATTTTGGACCGAGCAGATGCTTGAGCAGGGGTGTTCTGACAAGGATTGGAAGAGTTGTACTGCAGTAGAATCGCCACAAACAACACCAGGGCGGCAAGTGATACGATTGGCCTAGATGGAATAGCCACGCTGCGGTGATAAAAAGCAGATGAAAGAAACAAAAAAAAAAAAAGTTGAATGCAATTCTAATTCAATCTCGAAGATTATCCGGGGAAAGAGCAACCGTAGAAAGGGCGGTTGATGATGGTTGATTGTTGATGGAGGGGTAATTCTCACTTAAGAGCTAAGGTACCTAATATCGCAGCCTGATTGTTAGCGGATCTTTGTACCTGCCAGTTTCTAATTAAAAACGAGATGCCCCACTTTGCCCAGACGTGGCGGTGAGGCTGTGTGGCTCTGTGGCTGTGTTTCTACCCTTGGAAGTACTCAGTATAGAGTACACACTGTACACACTAGTCGAGACTGATGTTGAAACTAAACAATTGCTTGATGATATTGAGAATCATCAGTATACACTACTTCATAGTGCTCTCTTATATGCGCCATCATACAAACTCATGAACTATTACTGCGTGACACTTCCACCTGCGCAGGGTCCCGGTGCGACTTGAATTACTAGTCATGCAGTGGTCAAACCCTTCAAGATTTGCATAAGTCAGCCATTTCTATCTCTCCTTGAAGATCGAACGGGCATTTTTGGACGTCTTCTAACTCGTGACTGCTGGAATGTCAGGTCTGGTCTTCAGTGGAATGCTGTTATCATTCTTTCTCTTAAGCTCTCACCCGGAATGTGAAGCAAAAAGATAGTCATGAGAGCTTGAAAACATGCCGTTTGTTCCGGAACATAAACTCTAAGCTCATTCCACGAGGGAATGGACATGCGCCTCGAGGCAGCTAGTCTTACAGAATATCAGATGGGGTATCAAAAAAGATGGACCAGGGTTTCGGATCATTTCAAATGTTGATGCTGAGGAAATCAATTTCTGACCAGTGTAACTAGATATTAGAACAAGAACATCAATTTATTTGCCGTTGAGGGGTCAGAAGATGGAGGACATGATTTACGGATGTCGTAAGCGATGAGAGTATTCTTTTCTTTGGGCAAGCGTGTTTCCTCTGGAGTTGATGTTTTCTTTCGATTCTGATAACTATTATAGAACTGATTGGGCGCGGGGAATTTCCTGAAAGCTCTGTGGTGTGGTCTGATATTGGATATATCGTCACGATCGTCGTTTCAACATTCAATGGTGTTTCCCCACCTAGGAAATGTGTTGAAATATTGACCAAATAATTTTCAGCTTGTCGGCTATCACCGACCAGCCAACCGAGCAACTATTTAAATACTAGTCGATCCTTAGAACACTAGAAGGATAATTAGGCATAGCTCTAGACCGAAGAATAGAATTATAAATGACGTTTCAAAAGTACCACTTTGCCACCCCCAGTGGAGTTATACTGTGGCTTGTGGAGCTGGGCGAGAGTGACGCAAAAGAGTTGTATGTACTACATATGTCGTCGGGGCAGCCACGCGAGGAGATTTCACACATGGCAACTTGGAGCTGTACAGCCCTAAAATAGTAAGCAAAAGAAAACAAACTACATGAAGAAAGTGAGAAAAAAAGAATGAAAAGAGAAGGTCCCCACCCAAAACTAGTTCTAAAAGGGTGCCGTTACTTGATGCCGATCGTGAAAAAAAATCGCTACCTGAGGCAGTAGCTGAACCCCGAGGCAGATCCACCATCCAGAAGTAATAAGGTTGAATGGGGCCAGATTTGAAGGGAAAACCAATATTAGTTAATTTCCAGAATCATAATTTTCGTCCTCGAAAATCAGGAGATGAACGGGTCAAACCAGCACCAGCTGAACTCGAGCCGACAGGCGCCCGATCTCGACACCGATTGGCACCGCGCTCGGCGGACTAACGCCTTAGCCCCAGATCCACACTAGATCCGACCCGTCTTTCGTTCATCATCGTCCCCGTTTCCCAACACATGATGATCAAGAGGAGGGGTTGCATATTACGCTAGGGTCAAACGTTTGATGTACATATCCGGCACGCTGGATCCATGTTTAATAGCATCCCTTTCACAGCCACAGCTCCGCTTTTTCGCTCTAGAAGTTCGATTGTTTACCATCTCTCCGAGCCATTGACTGGCTTAAGTCCGTACTTCTGGCTCGAGTGGAGCCTGCAGTAGTGTACAAAAGTGCCGTGTCAAATGCACCGGTGCATTGGTGTGGTCCCTGGTCCTCTTTCTTGCTTTTTTCAGCTGGCATCTCTGCCTCGAGTCCCAGGTGTCTGGTTCCCCGGCTGTACATCGTGTCCAATGGTATATCGTCAACAGGGTTGATGGGCGAGTGGATCTCCCTTGGACCCCCCTTTTTTCAACCGTTTTTGCGGTTGTCTGAGCCGGGTTTCCGGTCTTTTTTTTTTTTGATGAGTAAATGCTTCATAAACGCGTACCACTCGATGCAACAGCTAATCAGTGGAGAAGCTTAGGGTTACGCCGGTAATTGCCATAGTAAAGTGAGGAGTAGGGATGAAGGGAAAGTCCAAATTAGGAATAGGTAATAGTAATATAGTATTTATTCACGACTCGTGTACATAGTACCTAAAATGTCAAAAAATTGCCCCGCCAGGGGGATACAAGTAATGATGTAAGTGTCTCTAGTAGTCACTGAAAGTGCTAGAATATTCCAAGGAACAATGAGACATGGCAAGATAGAGAGGAAGTAAAAACAAAAAAAAAACAAAAACAAAAGAATGCAATAAACAAGAGCCCATAAAGAAAACAAGAGGGATATCGTCGCAATGCCCAACAAAAATCCAGACTTGCTTTTTTCTCTCTCGTTCTCTCCCTCGCAATCGGTCAGAATCGCGACCCGCGCTGTACCCGCCGAGCGAGGAGGCCCCCGCATACCAATTCCACATGGGCCTCCACCGAGTATTAGAAACAAAAGAGGAAAAGTGAAAAAGAAACGAAAGAAAAAAAACCCAGCACCAAATCTCGTACACAACAATGGTAGGAAGATCTTGAAATGATGAAAGCCTCGGCAGATCAGGTAAACGGAAAAGGTCATATCTCTTTCTTCCGGTATCAATTGGGGAAAGGGGGAGGCGTGAAGCATGAATCATGATTGAGGTGTTGATTCATAATCATTGTTTTCATTATCGTCCTTGGATCCAACGCCGTATGGAGTCCAAGGAGGGGTCATCATCGAGCCAGTGACCTGCCCGCAGGTCAGCAGCTCGGAGGTCGGCGACGACATGTTGGTCCGTCACGCGGGCCAGTTCTTGTTGCAGTGCTGCGTGCGCACCTTTCAAGGCTGCTGCATGCGCCCCAGTGGGCCTTTGGCCGCGTAGAGTGGCCGTTCGGGCCATAGCCCATCGTCGTGAGGCTGCGGCACGGAGGTAGATTTTGTGTGCTTGGAAGCGGCGGGCACTGCTGTCAATAATGACCCTGTTAAGTATGAATAATTAGATCGATATTCTAATATTTCACACAAAGACCTGCAGCTTGTTGCTTTAGAGGCAGCTCTTTTCGGACTTGAGAAGATACCTTTGGAGCTCGGCTTTTTCGGTTTCTGCACTGCCTTGACCGGTCATGGGGCATGGCTGGTAATTGGCGGACATCAATCGTTGAGCCGAATTGTGGCATTCCCGGAGAACGGTATAGCCCTCCTCGTACTGGTCCTCGGGCGAGACTTCGACTTGCTGTTGGGATATATGTAGCAAAAGAGTTCGGTAATCGTTGATAAGCTCGGCCACTCGCACTGCGCGGGCCTGGTTCACTAAATTTCGAGTCGACCGTTTAGCAATTGAGAGCTGGACTTTTTCGGAATGATCAATTTCTTACTTCCGTCTGCCATTGAAGAAGATAAAAAAATGTGTTGAGTGGATATTAGAAAGAAACGCAGAAGAAATAGGAGCTTAGAATTGGCGAGAGACAGAGAGATGGAAAGAGAATGGATGAAAAGACATCAATGAAAGACCAAAGAAAGAGAAAGGGCGATGTTCCCTTGAATTAACATCAGAAGGCGTGTGATGATAGTATAGTAATAGTACGGGGAGCGACAGAGACGAGTCTTTATAAGCTTGAACAGCTGTTGTCATTACCCCATACCCGGCGGATATCCAGAAAAAAGCAAGAGCCAGGAGTAGACCGAAAAACAAAAAAAGTAAAATAAAAATAAAATCAATTAATAAAATCCGACGCTAAGAAAAAAAATATAATCGAAAAAGGAAGAGGTAGAACAAGACCAGAAAATCAGCCCGACAGCGGGGGCAGGACCTCAGGAGGATCATCGGGAAACATGGCTGGCTGCACCAATGGTTAACGAGAAGCGCAAGATGAGAGTCGAACACAGCTGGAGTGTAATCTGCACAGATGGACCGGGCCATACGATAGCTCCCGGGGGAAGGGCTAACGGGTCCGGCAGGGCCACTCCCTGTTCCAGAGTAGGGGGTCCTTTTGATCCACCTGGGGGTGGATGGCGGAGGGAGAAGTGGGCTAGGGACAGAAGTACGGAAGAATCAGTAGTATGCAGCCAGAGAGGGAAGGGCTAGGGCTTTTGCTGCTATTTTGGCGCGGCAGTTCTCAGGTCAGGTTCAGTTGAGAGGAAACGGAGGGTCCGAGCAGCAGCAACGAATGGCCCGCACGGAGTGGAGCCTTAATGCGATTAAGTTCCTGTGCGGCCGATTTGGTATCGAAGCGTTGTCTCCATCGCGCGAGGGGAAAAATTGATAGACAAGCGGCTTCACAATGAGGATTGGCAGCTACCCAGCGCTGGGGGGCGAACAACACTGGGCGGAGACCAAACGAACTGAGTGGCTCGTGGGACCCCTGTCACACCCGGTAGGACCTGCATCGAAGAGTGAGTGTGGCAAGACATTACGAACAGGTCAAGGCTGGGCAAGCTAATTGCATAAAGTGGGAACCGGGTCAAGGTTCGTCAGTGGCCTTTTGGGAGGACGTCAGAGCTGTCAGTCAGTGGCCCCTGCTTGCAGGGCCGAAGGAATCCGAGAAAAAAAAGAGATCTCACGCTAAGACGAAAGGTGGATTCATTACTAGACGTTAGCATTCAGCTCGGGCCAAAAAAAAAGTAAATAAAATATAAAATATCAAATGTAAAACACACCCAAAAAGAAAAGAATTGGGACCAGCCACGTTTGCTGAGCCACATGTGGCGCCTGCGAATACAGCTGAAGCGACGCACGATTGAAGATAGATACTGCCCTCCTTGCCTGATGGCTACATCTTTTTGGCTGCTTTAGTGCTCTGTCCATTTCGAGTTATTCTCAGGTCTGGATGCATCTAACAGTGGCGATAGGAATGGATACCCGTGCTGACGACGGGCCGTCCCAGCTAGTATCCAAGGATGGGTTCCTCTTGCGTGTGAACCACGGCCGAAACCGAAGCCTTACTCTGCTCGTTAATCGTCCGAGTCTGCTTATTTTCGCTCTAAAATATGGATGTACATAATAAGTTATAAATAAATAATCATAAAATCTCCAACAATATGGAGCACTCAAAAATAAAGAGACTAAATAATCATCTTGGGTACATACACAAGCCGGGGTATACGCCCCGAAATACGCCCGAGGAAGAGAGATAACCTTCCCCAAACTTGAAGGAGACGGTGCAGGACAAATCTGATCCATTCGGTCTATCACCCCTATTTCTGCAGCGCACTACGGCACGCTCAGTCCTTCTCCGCTATGGCCTGCAGCCGTTCATCGATTTCCTCCTCCGTCAGAGCACGGAACTCTGTCGTGGTACCCTCGCCTTCAACCTGCGGGCCGCCCACAATGCCAATCTCCAGCTCGTGCTTCTTGAAGTCAACGCTCAGCACATTGCTCAGAGCAGTGATACCCAGCTCCACCACTTCTTCCCAGTTACCGGCGGCCGCATCCTTGTTCTTCAGCTTCTTCTCCAGGTAGTTCAGCGCCTCCTGCTGCTTGGGTCCCGAGGCAGTGGCCTTGTATCCGACGTAGTAGCCGGCCGGATCGCACTTGTAGAGCTGGGGACCGTTCTCGTCATCGACAGAGACGAGAGTCGTTGCCACACCAAGTGGCCGCATGTAGGCCTGTCGATCGTTAGAATGGAGTCGTTCTCGGGAAATGCCATCCCATCCCATCCTCCTGTGTGGCGGCGGGTGGAACGGGCGGCTGACTAGATGACAGATAACGGGTGGAGGGCTGGGAGGAAACATACTCGTTGTGTGTAGACTTGGTTGATATTCGCCAATCGCTTCGCAAGCACATCACAGGGCATCTCGTATCCGAACTTGTAGCGGAACTCAGCTGCCTCACCACGGGCCCGATCGACGGATGCCCGCGCATCTGCTATGGAGCCAGTCATCACACAGCCCACCGAGGGCGAGATCTTGAAGACATGTGAAACGGAGGACGGATCGATGAGTTTGTCCTTGCAAGCGAAAGAGAAAGCCGGGTCAGTCTGCTGTCTAGGCGAGGTTCAGATTCCAACGGGAAAGCTTACAGCAACTTTCTTTTGAGAGAGAACAACAGCACAGTCTTTTCCGCGGACGCCGATGGAGGTAATGTTGGCGGAGGTGATGGCCTTGAAAGCATATTCTGAGGCACGAAGCGTTGGTCAGCCATCATGACGAGGGATGCAGTCGGTAGCCCAAGATGTGCAAGGGTCCGGGGTCACGGAGGAAGATGATAAACATACCGACTTGGTACAATCGACCTTGGTCGGAGAAGATAGTGATGTGTCTATCGTAGCCAGCTGATGCGGAGAAGATGAATGTTAGTCGGGGTTGAGGTCATCGGGGGCTGGTGTGCCAACGCGGGGAGGTGGCTCGATCTTCATACCGGACATGACGGCGGTTGATAATGTGTGCTAGGAGGTGAGGTTCGAATTGCGGGATTGAAGAAGTAAAGAGGAGCGAGATTGGATGGGAGTGAGGTTTAGAGATGCTGTGAGTGACGCGCGCCAGCGGTGCCTTGAGCTCCCAGCTTGAGCTTTCACCGCCTTCCCGCAACCCTGAGGTGGATATAGTCACCTAAGCGATGCGCTGTTGAGTAGATAGTTCAAGTTGCAAAATACTACAGAATTTGTTTATGAATTAAGTGTTGCAAAGTTTAAAATTTAAAAGTTGAAAAAGGGAGCAACAGCCCTGGTTTATGTGTATCAATGACATCAGCTGGCCTAAATTTCTATAGCTCTCGGTATGCACTGTCGTATACGAAACTAGGACCAGTGTATTATTTGCAAATTCAATTTTTCATAGACACGAAATATGATACATCGTCATGCTGCCATGGTATAGATGCAAGTATGCATTTTTGAAAAGAACAAAAGACGCCAACCAAAATCAGAGACACACATCTCAATCGCTATCACTCTCGCTGCTCGAGATCTCAATCAGAGCAGTTCTCATCTTCCGCTTCTGCTTCTTCTTGTTCTTGCTTGGAGCGGGTGGCTCGGGCTTTTTGGGCTCAGGTGTTGGGGGCGCAGGCTTGGCCTTTGCTGCCTTCTTGCGAGGGGGAGCTTTGTCGCTGTCACTATCACTGCTGGATCCACTGCTGCTTGTAGAATCGTCGTTGTTATCCGCCTTCTTAGCCTTGCTAGCTGCCTTCTTCTTGGATGAGGACTTTTCGTTATCGCTGTCACTCTCACTGCTGCTCGAAATGTCGACAACGACAGTTCTGTTCTTGCGTTTCTTCGGTTGTGGGGGCTCTTGCTTTTGCGGCGGCATGGGCTTCTGGCCAATGTACAGCTTGGCTGTGACGGCGAAGAAAACCAGCTCCGCACGCTGTCTCCTTTGAAGACGTTTGCGAGTCTCGCCCTCAAATTGTTCCGCAGAATCGGAAGCACCGATATCCTCGCTGCCCGCAGTCAAATATTCCCTGAATCCATCCACGGCCTGGTGATATTCTTCATCCGCCTCGACCTCTTTATCAACAGACATGACTTCCGCTGCACCTTGGCTCAAACGCATCTTCGATGCCTCGCCCTTCAGTCCCTGCAAGTAGACCAGAAGGGCAACGTTGTAGGCGGCGGGGACATGCTCCAACGAGTAGAGGTGCTTGAAGATATTCGATTCGCGGTTCTTCTGGAATTTCCAGGAAGCCCGGTCCCGATGATACCAGTTCAGGTAAGAGAGGATGGGCGTTTCGTGGACCTGTGTAGTGGTGGCAGCGACAGCAGCACCGCTCTTCCTCTCTTTCTTTTTTTCGCGTTTGCGCTTCTTCATTTCCTCGAGGGCTTTCTCATGCTCGTTCTTTTCCGAGGTCTCTGCGGTGGTGCTGTCAACCTCGGCCTCGTCGCCGGCGTCATTATCGCTATCACTCGAGTCATCGGCGTCTTTTGTCTTGGTGCCCGGTCCGAAGGAAACACGCTTCTTCGTCTTCTTCTTTTGCGAAGATTCGTCGGCGGACTCGTTTTCGTCGTGTCGGCGCTTCTTCTTCTTTGAAGCTTCGTCGTCACCGGATGACTTGCGCTTCTTTTTGTCTTTGGACTCTGACTTGTGTTTCTTTTCTGTGCTGGCATTCTCGTTCGTAGCATCGTGGTTGTCGAGCTTAGATGCCGCCTTGTGCGGCTCGTCGGTGGCGCTTTTGGCCATTGTTTCGGCTGTGACCGCTGTACGCAGGTTTATAACAAGGGAGGGATTGGCAGAGTGTAGATTGGTTGTCAATTCGTGTGCCGATCTGGAGTCTAATCTCTCTCCAAAAAGTTGCGATGAGGCGGCAGGGCGTCGACTTTTTTCTGCCGGATCCACTGGGGCGGTCCCGATAAGGTCGAGCATATCAACTGCCATACAACCTTACCTGAGGCAGAGTACCTTAATGACCAGAAAATTGAGAGCATTTATTAAACGTAAAAAGAAGCATATGGATCAAGTGACTCTTTCCGCTCTGCAATAAAAGTCTCAAAACCACTATTACGTATGCAGTAGATGGTAAATGAGGAGAGCTTTGATCTTCATACACTCTCAATCAAACAATCGTGGATTCGTCTCGCATTATTGATAGTCACTACTAAAAGCCTAGCACTGCTCTGAAATTCACTTGCGCATAAGATATGCAACAGACCTTTGGCAACGCCTACTCTCGACGAGCCTCCTTCGGGGCAGTGGATTCCGTCCCAGACCCAGCATTTGCTGATGCAGCAGTACCCGCAGCTTTCCTCTTCGCGCGTTCCCGCTCCTTTTCTTTCTCCTTGTCTCGAGAAGTAGTCGTAGGCTTCCTACGGTTTGGACGAATGGGTTCATACACATCATTGAAATTCATGACCACGCCCAGGAAGCGCATGTCCACATCAGGTTGGTAGGCAAGGTCTCCAAGGAGAATGTTGAGGCGCGATTTGAAGTCGGCAGAGAGGTCACGGAGTCGGGTGCGTAAGGTTGGGAGCATTTGATCATCGTTCATATCAGTTGCGTCAAGGGAATAGGGTGTTTCGATCCCGCCAACCCCTGCGCTCGCCGGACGGATGTCTGGGGTGGATGCTATAGATGCACCTCCGCGGCTGTTCGCGCGGCGTGGACGTATGTCGCTGTCTGTAACGCCCCACCGACCTTGCGCAGTACGTGTCTCAATCTTGGCCAGTAACTCCTGTCGGCGGGTGAATTCAGCAACAGAAAAGGAGTATAGGCCATCCACGGCGTCCTTGTATGCGAGCATGATCTTCAGAATCTGATGGAGCTGGGAGAGGAAGCTTTCTTCTGGCTGTTTCGCGGATGTTGAGGTCGATGAACCGTATCTTGGGGTTGAAGTAGAGCCCAGCAGGCCCTTGTGTGTGATAGAGTTCAGATATTTGTTGTGTGCATCGATCAGGTCGCCCAGAGTGCAATCCGGCTTTGTCATCTCGTTTTGCAGTTGATCCCAGCTAGACTCGATCACTTCGAAGAGAATATAGTATTGGAGCTGGCAGACGAAGTGGATCATTTCTGCGATGACACATCGTGCGCGTTTCCAGTCTGCCCCTAGGATGTCCTCCACATTCCCTAGTACTCCTCGTGCGCCGGTCATACATCTGCGCCAGGTACTACCCAGGGCAAACTCAACTCGTTTCACACGCCACAAGAAGTTGAAAACTTTGAGATATTGCCTTGACCCCCAGGGAGTGATCACAACATCTACCGGGGCATCGATCTTATATTCCAGTGTGAAGCAGTCCCAGCCGATTTCACCGTGACTCAGCTCAAGCATTCGTGCATCCAGCCGACGAAGCACATCGGCAGAGTCATACTGAGCATTCGATGCTCGAATAGCATGCTCCAACTGGGCAGTAAGTGTATGTCGGTATTGCGAGTTCGCAGGACGGTCTAAATTCGAGGCTAATGATTCCATCAACAGAGCGATGAAGTCACCTTGGCCTAACAGCAGATACTTCTTTAGCGCTCGCAAGTGGTCAAACAACTTAAACTTGTCATCCATGAGATGGATTAGTCGTGCCATGGTTGTCTTGTAGGCTTGGTCAATCGAAGATTCCAAAGTGTCCGTATCGCCGTATTTCAGCTCCTTGGACGCTTCTTTGGAATACGCCTCTACCCACGCAGAATCCTCACACCCAGTCCGAATAAAGTTCAATGACTTTCCGATGAGGAAGACCTTCTCTGCAAATTCACGTGTGACAATCGAAGGAATGAGCCCATCGACCAATTTATACTTGTGTTCCCAGACGCTCGTTGCGATGCCACGCGGGTCATTGCTAGGCCGGAATTCTGGCTCATCGACGAAAAATTCCTTGTACGGATCAGAAAGTTCGCCGTCGTAGATCCATAGCTGCAGCATATCGTAGAACGGACGGGTAACATGGGCCAGGAGCTTCTCGGCAAAGGCACCCACGAAAGGGTCTCCGTGTGATGTTGAAAATCCGTGGATTAAGGAAATCAACTGACCACCCTTTTTATCTATAGAAGAAATCAGTACGGGCATTCAGGGTGCGTGTAATCAAATCTGAGATCACTCACCCCGAGATTCCTCGACAATCAGACTCATCAACCGAAGTGCCATTGTTGCATCCCGCGTCCATACCATACACCTCTTCAACGTAACGCCTCCTTTTCTCACACCCTGGGGTTGGGTTCCATCTCCAATCGCGACCAAGGCCTGTCTAATTTCCGCCTCTAGCGTTGCTACCAATCCAAGGTAGGACTGCAATTCTTTGGAGATGGCAGCTTTCAGGCTCTGGTGGACCAACCCCTTATTCGTACCATCGCAGAACTCCGCCAACTCTTTGTAAAGAAGACAAGGCTCCGCCAGGGAGTGCAGAAGAGAAATAATGGGAGAAGGCAATGTAGCCGGAAGCTTCAGGACTGAGGAAGATTGAAATTGCAGGTTGGAAGAAGACAGGCCCTGAAGATTGAACGGTAAATCTCGCAAGAGCCTATGCTCAACCGACTCTTTCGATCGTGGATAACTAGGCGTCATTGTCGGTGACGCCGCACCTTGACGGTCATCGGCTTCCCGGTCGGTATCGTAGTTGCTAGCGCGACTAGCTATTCCCTCCCGAGGCCGTTCACTTGATACACGCGCAGTATGTTCTGTAGACCCCCCCCTCGGCAAGAGAGTTGGGTCGCGATGAGAGCGGAATCTTCTGCGAGGCGGAAGAGCCAGCAGCAGGCCCCTCATCCTCTGACTCAAAAGCGCGCGAGTTTGTTCCTCGTCGCGAGCGATATGTCTCGCGTCCAAGCATATTCTGCAGGTTCCCGTCGTCCATCAGGGGACTGCGACTCCGCTCGCCGCCGGCCGGCTCGTCATTCCCGGACAATTTGTAGAGAAGGTACAGGATACCCCATTTTTGCGAAAGGACGGGTTGTGTCAGAAGACGCGTGTACAGATTCGAAAAGCGAGTCACCTTGTCTGGGCTGGGATTCTCGCGTCGGAATTTACGCTTGATCAAATCAGGTGCGTTGTTGACGCTTTCCACGCCGGCTAGACTACCCCGGCGCCCGCCCGAGCCTGCGGGAGAACCTGGATCTGCCGAGTTGGCAGCTTTATGTGCATCGATCGTACGCCAGGCGCGCTCAAGCTGGGCATTGTGACGGTGTGACTCGGCTGCGGTGATTGCCTCTTCCTCGTCCGAGTAGTCGTCGTAGTTCACCGCGGCAAGGGGAATCGCGGGGCTCAAAGAGTCGACAAGTTGGGAGAGGGCATCATCGATGCGGCGCGGGCGAGCGGATTGTTTCGTGGTGGTCGACATTATGGCGCCCCACCAATGGGCGATTGTTTTCAAGTTGTGGACGTTGTTTTTCCACTGGGAGTTGCGGGAGACGGAGCTGGGGCGATTATTGGGCGCGCGACACACCGGTCAGGCGGCGAGGAGCCGAGAACAATTGTAGTCGTCCAGATTCGCTGCGTGAGCAGTTCCAATCGAATTGTCAGAGTTGCTGGGGGAAATGATGTCGAGACAAAGTTCTATGCGCGAACAGCTTGTTTGTGACGTTTGACGCGCCCTTATCAAGCTTATCGAGTGTGGTACCTGGACCTTTCCTCAGGTTAAGGTACCCCTCGGCCCTCGGACAGCCACTGCAGTCATTTCTATGGTACCTAAGGTACTACTAGTATGCTCATGCTACTGTGCTCGAGATAGCTAAGCGTACTGATCCATGACGAATTCATGCCTGGATTCTTGAACCGCCATACAACACCAATGAGAGCAAATCAGGTACCAAACTTCTACACAGCCTACTGGATACGATATAGTAGTTGACACTCGTTCGCAAGCGATATTTAATTCAATTGCACAAGAGTTCCGTTCTTGGGAACTAAGCAAACAAAACCACAGAGCCATCCCGAACGCCATCCAGAATCATGTATCACAAATATAAGCAACCTGGAGAATCAAAGAAGGGGAAGAATAAAGAATAAAACAAAAACATGCACCCACGAACCCACCAAGTATTAGACAAGTGAAAAGGAAGGAAGTTCTCTCGGTGTCAGAGAAGAAGATTAGAAAGAGGAAGGGGCTGAAAAGGTTGAGGGAAAATACAGCTGGGAAAATTGTGGGGAAAAGGGGAACAAAAGCCATGAAGAAAAAGCAGAGAACATTGAAGCAGCCAGAAGAAACTCGGACGCCGAAATTGACGCGCCCTCCAAAGACTAGACGAAATCCATCCGTTCCAGACCATTGGAACCTGCCGTCCATTTTTGAGTCGTGTGGATCATAAACACCTGCCCATGCCAAAAGGATTCGACGATTTATAGCCGAATAGAGAAAATATCGTAAAACAAGAAGTTGAGATGAGATGGCATCAAAAAGGGTGGACATCTGCCCTATCATAGCAAATGGATACATTGACACCCTTGCATTCAGTCAAACGAAGACGAAAAACTTGACTGCGATGGGAAATGCGATATGATTAACGACGCATTCCCTGAGTGGGGATCGGGGCACCAGGTGGCATGCCCATGCCTTGAGACATATAGCCATGCGGGTCGAAGCCAGCCGACATGCCCTGCATCATCAGTGGGCCAAGGCCTTGGGCTTGAGAGACGGGGCAATCCTTGTGAGCCAGCAGAAGGGTTTTCAAGTTGACAATTTCCTCTCTAAGCTGTGTGACTGTAGCGGTCAGAGCATCGTTTTCTGTGGTAAAGAGCTCAACCTTGGCCTGGAGGTTGGCCAACCATTGCTTCTTGCGCTGACGGCACTTCAGGGCCGCGACACTAAAAGAACTGTTAGAACGAAATACCATCAGGCTTATGGGTTTTGAAAGAGAGCTTACCGATTCCGCTCTAGGAAGTTACGTCGTTTTTCCTCATCTGTCATCTTCTTTGGGTCCATTCCAAGATTGAGATCCTCGTCATCGGATTCCATGTCAGAGGGCGAATCCATCTTGATCTTCTTGTTCGTGCCCTTGGGACCATCGTCTGCCTTGCGTCGGTTGTTGGCGGGGGCCGCCTTGGGAGTGTTCTTCTTGCCCTTGCCCTTGGCAGCCGACTTGCCAAGCTCCTGGTCTGATCCATCGCCACTCGTCTCACGAACACCAGTGCCGTTGACATTTTGCGATGCGCGTCTGGCGGCGGCCGCGCGGGTCTCATTTTGCAGGGCCGTTTGGTTCATTGTCATGTTGTTGGCCTGGCCACCCTTGGCCAGCATGAAAAGGCCGTTGGCGGCATCGGCAGCATCATGCTGAGTGAACTGGTCGCCAACAGGCGGTGCGCCTTTGGAATCCATATTAGACTTCGTATCTTGTTCCTGTGCGTTCGATGTCGGACCACCAGCGTTCTTTTTGGCGGCCAAGGCAGTGCGGTGGAATTCCATGGTCGACGGAGTCGCTCCGCCGTTCTGAAGTTGTTGGAGCAGAGCTTGTGAATTGGGACTCGGGGCGGGGAACATCGAGCCTCCTCCTCCAGGGGTCAGTCCCGTGCGGAGGGAGGACTCGTTCGGGGTAGGGAAACCTCTACCGATGTTCTCAAAGTAGTCATTACCGCCGGTCGGTCCGGGGAGCATCGCCGGGCTGAGGGGACCCGAGCGAAGGGAGTTGGACCAGTTGTAACTGCCAGATGAGTTGGCGCCAGGCAAGGCAGGTGATGTGAGTGATGCGACGGGCGGCAGTAGCGACTTGCCGGGGGTATCGTTTGGGTTCCCACCACTGAAGGATTGTTCGAATGGATTGGGCTCGAGCGAGAAAGGGTTGTGAACGGAGTTGAAGTAATCGGGAGTATCGCTGGCAGTCGCACCAGATGGACGTGGAGGTGGTGCCAGTGAGTTTTGAGAGTCACCCCCAGGCTTCTGATCCTTTGATTCCGAAGACGCGACCCGCGAGTCTGTTTGGAAAATCAAGTCAGTCAGCGATTCATGCGATCCGCGATCGAAACGAGTATATGCGCAAAGGTACCGTGATTACGGGGATGAGACGGGGCGTTCATGGTGGAGGGTTGTTTTGGAAGGTCGATGATCGATGACGCCAGTTGTGAGATCATCCCAACGGCAGAAAAGGAAGGGTGGCGTATTACCAAACCAAAAGGGGTGGAAAAAAGGAAAAAACTTAAGTATACATCACACACAACACTTGATTGTAACTCTTCCACAGAGAAAATTCAAAGGTTGCGATGATAATACGGAAGTTTATCCATCTATAAAATGGTATGGCGGTGATGACGGGTGTGGGCAGGATATTCAGTGCAGGGGCAGAACGGAAGAGAGGAAAAAAAGGAAAAAAAAAATAGGAAAAGAGAACGGATGGGGGAGGGGAAGGAAAGTGAATCTGATGAACAAAGCTAACCTTGAGAATTCTTTTTATCCATATTGTGAATAGTAGAGACAGCGACAGCAGCAGACATCTCGACAAAAAGAAAGGCGTATATCCCACGCGTGTCGTGGCTTGCAAAGTTGTGATGGGCCGGGAAGGTGCGAAGACGTCAGAGGAGAGACCAGAATGGACCAGATGGGGGGGAGAAATGGGGGAATGACGCAAATTTAGGGGCAGGCGCGACCAGTTCCTTAGTAACACGGACAATCGTCTGTCCCGGGTATCGTACCCGTAATTCCTTATTCCTTGCTCCCGCCTTTGGTGTATTCTTCATACTCGGCCCCCCGTGTTGTATCGTAACCGATGTAACGCGTGCCGGAGGCGGTTCGAATCAAGGAAAATTCTTAGGGGGGCTGGACTGGATCTGGATTGGGTTGCGCATCCAGGAAATGGTACCATAATTTACTACAATATATTATCTATAGAGTATACTAGACGGTACATAGGTATATATAGACGTATTTATAGACACACATATATATACATAGATATATACACTCTTTCCCATCTTCTATACAGCTCCTTTTCACTGGCAGCCCTGGAGGTTTTCATGTATTTACCTCTTCCGTATCTATAAACCCTCCGGTCTTCCCTCGAGCGCCCAGGGCAGAAAGCGACCCTCGCAGTGTGGGTCCCGAAAGAGCGGAGCCCTTCATCCGGGAAGATTGGCCACTCGTCATCGCCGCTCTGCCACCTGCGGGGGGGGACGGTTTTCAGCTGTTTCTGGCGCAAACGATGAAGATTTTGACAGTAAAACTGTACTCTCTCTCTCTCTCTCTCTCTCTCTGTCTGTGTCTACCCACTCTACTTTGATTCTTCTTCATGTCGTGGCGAATAGACAGCTAAAAACACTCGCGTGCGTTTCGACAGTTGAGGTGCTAGGATGATTTCACGATGACGACGACGGCATTCCAACTGGCTGTCGGTTGTGGCTGGTGGGGCACTACTAAGCCAATCATTGCTGTATTCTATTTGGCGGTGAGACTCGCTGAGACTCGCTGATTAAAGTGATGACGCAATCTCGTGCTGACGGGTACCTAGGTACCTTTGCATCCCAGGGCACACTTGGGACTGACTTACCGGATCAAGTCTGGCAACGGGATAACCATTTTCCATCTTAACGGCGATTGTATTCAATGGATGTCATTGGATCTAGGTACAATATACTTTGAGATCCAATGAAATGGTTTACTTTAGAGTGGATACATATTCCGTTCCCAACAGAGCATGCAGAGTAAACAAAATGGCCATTTTGTATTGATCGAGTTAAGCGAGAGATATAGCAGATCAGATCTCCTCATCAGATCTGCTAGACAGAATCTAAGAAACACAAACAAAATATCGGAAACAATAGAACGAAGAAAAAAACAAAAACAAACCGGTCGACACCTGGGGATCTTCCCCATCTCAAACTCATATCTCTGAAACACTTTCACCCCGGGATGAGGGTTAAAAACATCCATGCAAATCCATCATCTTGATGGATTGATGATCATTTATGCCTTGATACAGGTGCAGACGCTATAGATTGGGTCAGGATGAGTTCATGCATCAGGCTTGCGAAAGGAAACCAAGAAAAATATGCTCACTTGTCGTCGGCGCAGTATCCGCCAGCGTGGCCCTCGGCAACACACTATTTCCATGTTAGTCGCTTGTTACCCGGAATACCTGATCTAGTATTCAATTGCATACCTTGACTTGGCAGGCCTTGTCACCACCGAAGGCACAGGTCCAGCCAGCACGAGCAGCAAGCTTCTCAGTGCGAGCCTCGAGGTCATTCATGCGGGCCTCGAGAGGGTTGGGACTGGGAGCAGCAATGGCCATGGTGGACAGAACAAAGAGAACAGCAGAGGTGGCGATCTTGGAGAACTGCATGTTGCTGTTTGATTTTTCTTGAAAGAGAAGAAAAGAGGCTGGTTTGTATTGAAGTGATGTTTGGAAGTGATCGATTGAGATGATGATGGAGATAATTGCGAGGGATTCAAGCTCATCTTTATACCTTTCCTTTTCCCCCTCATCGCACGATTATCTTGATTCTATCTATAGAATCTCGTGTTCTCGGAATGTGTTTTTTTCTAAGTCTCCATATTGTACTCCAATTACCAACTGACTACTACCTCGTATCCCTTCCTGTATAGATCTCCGTCGACTAAATTATCGATCTTCCTTCTATGGGTCCACAGAAGAGATAAGCCGTCAAATCTGATTCTAATTCCCTTGTTAAACCCCTTTGACGACGCCGAAATTAGATCAATACGAGCTTCCTTCGGGGCAGGAATGTGTGGGCGTCTGTCTGCATGGCTATATCTCGTCCCTGGTGCTCTGTGGATCATAGGGGGTGGTATATCTGCAGCTGAACTAAATACGATATATTGCATAATCCCATTGGCCTTGAAGTTGATGATCTTCCAGGATATATCGTATTAGGGTGGTATTCTGCGAGCCTTACTCCAGGGCTCCATTGCCAATGTGGGGAGGGGGAACAGCTCCCATCTCCTCAACTGTGGATCCCTGTTTACTTTCTTCGAATCCGTGGGCTATGGGAACTTCTTCTCCAGGCCTACTGACAAGATCATAATATATTTTTGGACGCTATTGACTCCTCGGCTAGCTTTCCAGGGCTTGCGCCTATTTATCCATGGCATTGCTTGGCCCCGGTACTCGTTTTACACGCAGATACCAGGTCAGTGGTAAAGGTGCCAAGAAGTGAAATGAACCCGGGTGGACGATCTTCGTATTCAATCTTGGGGTGCTGCAAGTCGTAGCGGGCACCAACAAACTAAAGCTAGCAAGTTAAGAGATGTGGGAGGCGCATTCTATGCCGACCGTGTCGATCATGCTGTTGCCCTGCATCCGTGAGCCAACCAGCGTTGCAGGTACTGCACACTAATTTTAGATGGTCTTCAAAAGTATACGATACATTCCTAGGTGGTCGCTGCACAGTTCAGGTGGCCCCGTAGCTTCAAATGCTAAGGAGCTAAAGAATCGCGGGCAGATATTTTTGAACTACACCTGGGGAGCATGCACTTTGTGTACCTTATTATTCCCTACGTGGGACCCCAACGCTTGTGGGTCTTTACGAGGTCTTCAAACTTCAGTTCTGGTTGTGAGAATGTTTGTGGTGGCGATAAATTTACCTAGGTGACGAATTTCTTTTCTGTTGCCACATCTCCCAAGTAAACATGTGCAGCTCGCTGTGCAGACTTCCAGGATTCATGTGGTACTGAAATCGAATTTGTACATGCTATGGATACGAGCACCTTCCTGAGGTCACACTACGATTTGCCGATGTATATACAGCGAGGATGTGAAAGATGTGAGTATGTTTTGACACATCAGCCCTCGAAACTGCCAGTGCCCTTCGGGCAGTGTAGATATAAATTATCTTGGATGAGAATTCTGGGAGGTCTGGGAGCAACCTTGGAAGCAGTTTACTAGTGAGTTCGGGGTTTAAAGGTTCATATTGTATGATATCACAAATAAAGCAATTTTTCCAACTATCTTTCAAAGCGCTGATATTTTCATGTAGACGCTGCAGCTGGCCCTAGCCCGTGTTCGATCATTTCAACTAGCTACAGTATAATCCATGGATTGTTTGTACAAGGGAGTATGCTACTGGTATGTTAAGATCATTAGGTACCTAGGTATCATAGATGGAGACAAGACTGTTGCATAACTTGAATTAGGAGGATATGCCCACTGTGGACAATCACACTGGCAACTTGAACCTTGTACTTTGTTCAAACGAGACTAGTACTAGTAGGGAGTTCCAAAGTAATATATATGTACAGGCCCCGGGGGCTACTACTAGTACTAGATATGGCTCCTCAAACTTGAAGGAGTATTAGTAATTTACCAGTCAGTCAGTAGTAGGTAAATATTTTACCTTAATGGTGACCCTGAGTTTGGGGTCTAGGGTTAGCAAAATACTATTATTGACCATCTTCAAAGTTCCAATTGGAATGTGCCCACTCCGATGTTTTAGTTCCGAGGTTGAATTGACCCGTTTCACTATTGTAAGCCGGTTTAGAAAAATTTGTTCCATCAAAGCATAATTTGCCCTCTTGTTATGCAACAGGCAAGATGGCCGAGCGGTCTAAGGCGCACGGTTCAGGTTTCACCTGATCCTCAGAGATCTGTAAAGGTTTCCGTGTCTCGAAAGGGGCGTGGGTTCGAATCCCACTCTTGTCATTTTTTGCCTCCCAGACATCTACTTGGGTGCCATTAAGATCCTATCTCTTTAGGAATTGATTTTTTGGGCAGTTTGGGTGACCCTGGGCCGTCAGGAGGCACTCTACTGGAGATATAGTAAATGGGTTCATTCATTGCGTTATAATACTCCATACGCCCAGATCATAATCTAATAATACACGCCATAACACTCATCAAGTACTAATATCGTGGAAAGCATATTCAAGTTAGATTGTTACCATAAGGTAACATTGAGTAGCCTATTGGTCCTTCAACCCTGGGAGTGGCTATTTCTTCCATCCTTTTTCGACATTTCCCCCATCCGTAATGTGATTATATGGCTTATCGTAGCGTTCATCCATTTCCTTATTGTGCTTCTTCACATCCTCGGGCAGGTCCTCACGAAGGTGACCTTCATGATCGGCAATAGGCGACTGTCGGCTATCTTGAAGCGTTGGTTTCGCATTATTAGAAGGGATCGGGTAGTCGGTAGAACCATCCTGTTTCGATTGCGTAGTCTGCTGAGTCTTGCTCTTGCCACTGGCATAGGAACGTCGGCCGTACGATTTGAAGGTAGGTCGTCTCAGAGGAGCGAATGAGACAGAAGCCTGGATTCTCGCCTGGAGTCGGGTCAAAGGTGTCATATTGAAAGGTAGTAATATCAAAACCAAGGAATGATGAGAAAAATCAGCTACGGCCGAGGAAACGACCCGGAGATATATGCTGAAGATGATTCTCAACGTCATTAGCCGGTTTATGGGGACAGGGATCCTGATACCCTTGTCCATGGCGCCTCGGGGAACTTCTTATCGTGTGTGATGTCATCCTGAGCCCCGTGGAAGTTAAGTTGAATACGGCCAGTGTTTATGCAAAGTAATTGATTTACAGATGCATGTACTCCAGGTAATACACTCAGGCTGTAGTTACTGTATACTAGTATTATAAAATGATTCGCTCCATGCCCTAGGGACCGTAAATATTCTAGACCACGGGGCGGGCGACACAGGACATTATAGTGGTGCTACTAAACGAATACTTTAAGGAATCCCAACGTACAGCCCTGAGATAAAGTCTTGTCATTCAATTTCTGTAAAAGGATCATCAGATCCCGGAACCCAATAGTAGAGATACCTAGGTATAGATACTACTACTATACTTTTCGAAGTCCGAGTATCGCGATGAGCTTGTCACTAGGTACCCACAATTCTAGAGGGCGCTAGCATGTAGATCCTATTATAACGCGTATAGTATAAAATAATCCGACGAAGAAACCAATTTGCAAGGTGAAGGCAAGAAAAAGTTACGTTTCGGGATACGTTGTGCTAAAATTGCGATAAGTAGACCTTCAAAATACAAAATATGCATTCATACATGAGGAACAGGGAAAAGAATAGCAGATTAGAAACTGCCAGCTCTGTTCAATTGTTAATTGACCCGGGCTTTGAGATAGAAACCCCCTCACCCCGAAAGAGTAACTTATGGCATAGTGGGATAACAAAGACAGCCGATATGACAATGGAGTGCCAAGGGGGATCCACTAGGAAATGTTAATGAACCCCCACCCCACCGGGCTGACACTATCAGCGAACAGTAGGGAATATTGAGGCAATGTTTGGGTAAAGTAACTTATCACGATGCTTATGCCAGGATGTGCCTCATATGATTTCAAGAAAAGGATGATTGCGTATATACCGGTAGGTACCCTCACTTGACTACACGCAAAGGACCGACCGAATTCCCCGTGACGTGATCGGCACGTGATCCCATAACAGCCGCGGGTGACAGCCGATTGCAGCGGAGCTTCCTTCTTCCAGTGACTATGTCCCTTCCACTTCTCTTTGATGGAGGTACTTGGAAGATGCCGAAATCAATTTTCTGAGTGTGACATCTTCAACACATCTCTCTCCCAGCCTTCTCATTTCTCTCAGTCGCATCACTTATCTTTGTCACTATGGCCTCCCTCCCCGGATTCTCCGCCGGTGGGAGGACGCGGGCGCCTGAAGGCACCACTACAACGAACACCGATTCAGATTACACCTTTGATGGCACAGATACTCAGTCGCAACAGACGGACAATTCGGATACCGTATTTCTCAACAAAGACTCCTCATCCTCAGAAATCGGGACAGATGTGACGGACAAAAGCACCGGTCGATCAAACCCCGTGGACGCCGATCAAGAAGAACCCCGAAAATGTTGGATTTGCTACACCGATGAGACAGAAGAATCGCCTTTAAATTCAGAATGGAGATCACCCTGCCCATGCGCCCTTACCGCACATGAAGCATGCCTGCTCGACTGGCTTGCCGACATGGAGAACCCTCGGTCGCGGCGGGGAAATGTGAACAGAGCTAAGATGGTTTGCCCCCAGTGTAAGACGGACATAATTGTCACACGACCGCGAAGTTATGTCGTCGACTTTCTGCGTCTGGTTGAGCGCGCGGCGGGGCGCCTCGTACTTCCAGGCATGGTCTTTACAGTTGCTGGCACTGTTTGGGCCGGTTGCTGCGCCCATGGAGCATATTCGATGTATCTAGTCTTTGGCTCGGAGGAAGCAAAACAACTCCTCGAGAACAGCGTGGACGGCCCCTGGAACCCTGGAATGAACCTTGGCCTACCTCTTATTCCGTTGGTATTGATCTTCTCGCGCACTCGCTATGCCGAAGGTCTTCTCCCCGCAATCCCTGTTCTTTTCTTCGCAGCACACAACCCGGGGCAGGAGCCTGACTTCGAGCTTTGGCCCCCAACCCCTGCTATGACATTCGCGGCCCTTCCATACGTGAAGAGCTTCTATGGCGCGCTTTATGATCGCATTTTTGGTGGGTTGGAAAAGAAATGGATTGCAGAGGTTCAGCCTCGCGCGGCAGAGGAGATCATGGACGAAGTTCAACAACAGGATCAGGCGGAGGGACTGGGTCGATTTGGCGACAACGCCAACGGCCAAATACTCATGGAAATTGATCTTGAATTGCAGGTTGGAATGGGCAATGACGACGACCTGCTTGAAGCTCCAGCTCTTCCTGCCGCCCAGAACCAAAATGGCGCTGACGAAGCCGCCCAGGATGGACAGGCACAAGGCCAGAACGGACACGGCCTCGGCCTTGGGCGACGACAAAATGATATCATCCAAGAAACTAGTAGCCTCGCGGATGTTATTCTCGGAGCCCTTGTGTTCCCGGCTATCTCAGCATCGATGGGTGGTCTTCTGAAAAATGTCCTGCCCAAGTCATGGACCACCCCTTCCTCGGTTCTGGAGCGCAGTCGTCCAGGGCTTCTACAGACTCGCTGGGGACGTAGTGTTGTGGGAGGCTGTGTTTTTGTCATGCTGAAAGACGCACTCGTTCTTTACTGCCGGTGGAAGTTGGCACAGACACATCGACGACGCAAGGTTCTAAATTACGATCGGGCCAAGAAGCACGTCGCAGGGAAGCGGTAGAACCCGGAGAACTGGCTAGACTGCTCGGAATAATTTTCTGGTTTTCTGCAAGTCTTCCGCTTAATTCATTGTTTGCATTCTTTGGCGTTATCTGGTGATCTGGCTTGGCTTTGATTGGAAGCTACTTACACGCATGTCTTCGAGACACTTGATGCCCTTCACGAACCCCTCTCACAAAGCATGATACCGTTGCACATTATGATCGACCCTCTTGCCTTCATCCCTTGATACATGGAATCATATCGCCCCTGGGACCATTACGGAACCTCTCCTGTAACTTTGATAGGGAGCACAGCATGTTTTACACAGGGTTTCCAGAAGTAGATATCGAAAAAGCTACTAGTATCATAGCCATCTGAGAAACGGCCAATCCAGTGTTTTTGATTCTGTTAACCATGAGATAAACATGTCAGAAATATGTAGCCTTAACCCGATCGCTGATCGCGACGATCGAAAAATAACCTGATAGGATATTGGGAGGTTCTACATATAAGCGCGCGGCTAAACCAGAGGCGGCAGGATTCTGCCGTCAGGGAATTCAATTATTCAACTTCCCGTACTGGCACCTCCCGCGTCTCCTGCAACCACCATACCCCATTACACCACCACAATGCGGTCTCTTTCACCAGCCCTCGCGTCCCTCGCGAATGTATTCCGCATCCCCATGTCGCTGAACCCTGTGCGCCCCACGGTCAGCCGAATGTGTTACGAGACCCTCGCGCGACGACCCTCACAACCTAGCCCGATCACTGCGGCCGTGCAACAATCAGCCCCGTTTTCATCCACAAGTGCGCTGGCAAAGCGAAAGGGTGGAAACGTCGTTGACAAGCGAATCAGTATGTTTGTCCTATCATTTGAGTTGGATGAATGGCTTCAATTCTCCCTAAATATTCATCGTGTCTCGGGCCCCGAGAACCTCATCAGCCGGCACTGTAAAACACAATCAAGTCTAACAAATTCAACTTAGCTCTCATCCGTTACTTCCTCTATCACCCGCTCACCCCCCGCCCTCTCCGTTTCTCTCGCAATCGTTACCTGCGTCACTGGACAATCCACCGTGCCTGGCAACTGTTCCAGGCGAAGCAGCGCCGCCAGCAAGAACTTGAATTGGAGCGCCAATACCAGGCCATGCAATCTGCATGTGAGGAGCTGCGTACCTCTGCTGGAGATGGAGGCAGACTGTTCCGCAAATCGATGAACAAGAAGGGCATCTTCACTGATATGTTCCCTATCGAGTATGGTCGTATGCAGACGGATTACCCCCCGGCCGAGGGCTGGAACCACGACTGGAAGCGACCCGTCAAGAAATAGAAGACTGGAGGGGCTGAGTTGCTGTAGGACAATTGTTGATGATTGTTGATGGGTGGCATTCATTGTGGCAACAGTTTTGTATCATTTGGCGCTGTGTACTATATGCATTTATCTTTTCCGCACCGAGAGCATTGAGCTGCATCTCTGGACGGCCACATTTATATTATTTATTTGCGTGATAAATTAAAGTTGAATTCAAGATCTACCAAGGATAAACTATATATTTTGGCCAGAGTGAGAGTGAGACTGAAGTATGAAGCCCGAGAGCCCAGGGTGATAAGCACAGTACATTGAGAAAGGCACGGAAAGAGTCAAGAGATACTACATGGAACGAAGGAAAAGTAAAAAGGAGTGATCGGTGCGATACTGTTCGGGGAATGGAGACAAGAGATGGATATCCGGAGTTGCACGTGCATGAGAATGCGGGAAAAGGAACGACGGGAAGGAAAGACATGAAGAATGTACTCCGAGACAATAGATACGGCCGGAGCAGCCAGTGAACAAAAGGCTGACGCCACACTTGGCCCAAAAAAACTAGACCAGAACAATTAAGAACCACCCAAACGCCAATAATGCATGATACAGCGAAGTACCCAATGGAGTGCTACAAGCTCACGGCTTGGATTGAAGCGTGACCACCGGACAACTTCAAGTTGAGAGACAACCGAACGCTGGGCTGGAAAACATATTCGCAATGTGACACGTTCCCGTTGTCACGCCATTATAGAACCACGCAGCAAGAGCTTTTTCGCTTGTCAAAGGTCAGTAGCGCGGCTCGGGTGGCTGCTTCAAAAACATCGTCAACACCTTCTCCCGTCAAGGACGAGCACTCGAGATATTTGCGGGCACAGATCTGGGATCCCGTATCGTTGCCTTCTTTGGCTGTCACGAACTTGAGTGACTTCTTGCGCATTTCTTCAATAGCAAGTGGATCTTCGCGGAGATCTTTCTTCAGACCGACCAGAATGATTGGCACCCCCGGACACCGCTCATTGGCTTCTTCAATCCACTATGTCGGAGCTTAGTTAGTAGGTGGAACAACCGGCACGCTTGGAAGCCTGGCGACGAACCTTATGTTTGACGTTCTCCAGAGAATCCGGTGAGTCTACAGAGAATCCAATGAGGAGGACATGTGCTTTCGAATATGCCAGAGGTCGCAACCGCTCATAATCCTCTTGTCCAGCTGTATCCCATAGAGCCAATTGCACCGAGCGGCCATCTACCCGGCAATCGGTCACGTAGTTTTCAAATACCGTCGGTACCTAAATATCAACTGTTAGAGGGTATTGGTGATTTTGGGCGGAGCGATCAATATAACTAACATAGTGCTAGCAAGAGAAATGTCAGTTAAGGTATGTTTTTTGTTGATAGAAGGGAACCGGTATAACTCACAGTGGGAAAGTAACCGAGAGTGAACACACTCAGCAGACTGGTTTTTCCACATGCACCGTCGCCAATTATTACCAGCTTCCTATAAAGGTGAAGGCAGATTAGCCTTCCGCTCAGATCACATGCGAACAACTCTGTCACGAGTATAGGAATGGTATCTCCCCTCCTTCGCAATGGTATCCCATCGCCTATGGCACCATATCAAGGCCACGGTGACTGCAGAAGACACGGGATTGCTCTGCTACCATTGGGCATGGGGATATGCTGGGTCGTAGGGAAGAAGCCAAGGTGGCTGCACGTACCTCCGCATCACATTATCATCGTTTTGTTGTTGGGCCATGATTTATGACTATCTGGCGAATATTGTCGATGGGGTGAAAGGGTGAGAAGAGTAGATCGCCTTGAAGTGTCGAGGGAGTGATTATTGAGCCGATCACCCAAGTCGCGAACACGGAAGCTAGTAGGGGTTTATGGAATCCAGCCCTGCACACACGGTTTTTCCCGCCCAATCGACGACAAGGGGCAGCAAATGGAGGGTGGCCTAAATTCACCAAAGCAGTTGGCCAGTGACGCAGGGTGCTGGGGGGCAAAGGCGGTCGGTCGGAGCTGAAGGTCGGGGGATGGTGGGATGGAGTTCGATATGGATGAATTGGCCGATGGTAATCCCGATCTACCGAAGTCGAATCGGGAGTGACGAGGGAGAGAGATCCGACGAGAGGAGAAGGGAAAGTCAAATGTACGAAAAGAGAGAAGAGTGAGGTGAGAAGGAGAAGGAGAGGGAGCGAGCGAGCGGGAGAGAAGAGGAGAATGCGGCTAAGTAAGATGACAATAGGAGATCCGGAGATTTAAGGCACTCCCCCCGGAGACAGGACGAAGGTAGAGGGGTGGATTACGGGATTAATTGACACACTCGGCAGCTACTCCGTCTGATCGTCCAGCTGTTTTGGGGGGGAAAATTTCGGATGGGAGTTATTTTTAATTTGAACCTTAGCGCTTGAGCGTGTCTCACAGCGCGGTGGAGCAACCAACAGCAACAGTAACCAACCTAACCAGCAATAGCAAGCAATTGTAGCAACGGCAACACACTGCACCGCCCCACGATTTAGTCTGGCAGAACAGAGGCGGTGAACACTGTATAAATAGCATTGTAGTATGCATCCTATCATGTGATCTGATTGGATTGGATTGGATCTGATCTGATCCCAGATTGGTCATGGTGAATTGTTGTGGCTTGTCTAGTCAGAATAGAATCAAAGGATTTTGGTTGATCATACGTATGTTTTGTTTCTAAAAAAATATTATCATTTATTGAGACCCCCTCCTCTATAATCCCCTATCTATAGAGACCACCTTGAGGCAGGCTGCTTCGCTATTGCTGTAGACCTGCATATGTTGCCTTACCCATCAGGCATCAGCTCGCTTGCGGCGGCTATCCCGTTGCGGCGGCACGACAACCAGCCAGAGGGCCGGAAAGCCCATCGCTTCATCCCATCATCCGCATTACGAACGATCACCTTCTGCGACCCGCGTTTCCAGGGCTTCGATTTCTCCCTGGCCCTGGCCCTGACCAAATCTACCTCTTCCTCCGCGGGTCTCCCTGCGCCCCGGCCTCGTCTCCGAGCGAACACGTCGTGACCCGCCGGGATTATCGCCTTCCCCCCCCTCCTCTGACGCTGACTCCAAACCCCTCTTGTTTGCTACTGCGCGCCCCTCCCAACGGACCTGTCGAGGAGCTTTCCGGATTTTTGTTCGCCTAGCGGAGGTTCACCCTTTGTTGAGTTGGTCCTTGCATTGGATTGACCGGAGCTTTGTTGGTAGGTTCTTTCGCCCTCTCCCGCTCTCCGCTTTGGTCGTTCATTCTAGTCACCCCACCCACCTTGATACGAACTCGTCTCTCTAACCGACGACTTTGTGCTGGTCATAAATAGTCATACTGCTGAGGCAGTCGCTCCAAGCTTCATATCCACCATGATGACGCATGCATCGGCCGTTCCGGCGCCATCGACTAATGGTGACGCGCGGGGACCCTTGAGCCATTCAGCAATCGATACCATGTCAACACCAGCCCCCGCTGTGAATCGCAAGAAGCAAAAGCGCCGACAGAAACAAGCCGCTCGCCTAGATGCTCACTCCCACGGCGATCCCACTGACGTCGCTGCGGCCGAAGATCGACATTCCGACGATGACATTGCAGACCACGATAGCGCGGACTTTGACAACCATGAACCGGATGATGTCTATAAGAATGGAGACCTTGGATCACACTCCCACCCCTCGCTGCCGAATGGACCCGACGACCATCACGAACATTTAACCGGCCATAAATCCAAGAAGAAGAGAAGCAAAAAAGGCCGCTCGGATTCGCACACTCTCGCTGACGGCAGCTCGACACCTCTCTCTACCCCATCCGCTTCATTCTCTCACCCACCACCGTCGCACTCCCTCCCGTATTCCGCCACCCGTTTCCCCGCTAAGTCCGCTAAAGAGAGCAGTATCTGGAACCAGTCCTCTTTGGAGGAGCGCGAGAATATTCGAACTTTCTGGTTCGAGTTGGGCGAGGAAGAACGCCGTCAGTTGGTGAAGGTAGAGAAGGATGCCGTGCTGAGGAAGATGAAAGAGCAACAAAAGCATTCTTGCAGCTGTACTGTCTGTGGCCGAAAACGTACCGCCATTGAGGAGGAGCTTGAGGTTTTGTATGATGCGTATTACGAAGAGCTCGAACAATATGCCAACAACAACCAAGGCTCCTTTGATGAAGGTGCCCCGATCATCCCCCCGCCTCGATTGTACCAACCACCCCTACGATCACCTGGCCAACATACTCGAACCCATGGCCAATTTCACCCATCACGGGGCAGAGTCCAGGAATTACCCGAAGATGACGACGATATTGAGGACGATTATGACGAAGAGGAGGAAGAAGAGGATGACGAGGAGGATGAAGACGACGATGAACTTTACAGCGATGACGACGAATTTGAGGATGAGGAGACCCGTGCAGCTCGTGCAGACTTCTTCGCATTTGGGAATAGTTTGACGGTGAAAGGTGGGTGCAATAATGGCTTCTCTTCTGGAAGCTGGCTGTTCTAACTATTTGAAAAATTTTTAGATGGCATTCTTACCGTGGCGGACGATCTTCTGAAAAACGATGGCAAACATTTCATTGACATGATGGAGCAATTGGCCGAGCGTCGAATGCAGCGTGAAGAAGATACCCAGTACAATATCGCCGCCGCCCATCAATCATTCCATGCTGGTCATAACCACGGCCCTCTCGACGACGAGGACTATGACGACGACGAGGATGAAGACTATGACAGCCAAGAAGAAGAGGAAGAGTTCGACGAAGACGAGATGGTATGTATCTGCCAAGTCTCCGTAATGTTTAATCACGTTGACTAATTATGTAGGACGCCATGACCGAAGAGCAGCGCATGCAAGAAGGGCGACGGATGTTCCAAATATTTGCTGCCCGAATGTTCGAGCAACGAGTTATGACTGCATATCGAGAAAAAGTCGCCGAACAACGCCAGAAGCAGCTCATAGAGGAATTATTGGAAGAGGAGAACCGGAATGAGCAACGGAATGCCAAGAAAGCACGAGAAGCTCAGAAAAAGAAGGATAAGAAGCGGTTGCAGAAGCAAGCCAAAGAAGAAGAGAAGTCTCGCCGAGATGCCGAGAAAGCAGCCGAGGAGGCTGCAGCGAAAGCGGCCCAGGAGAAGAAACTGGAAGAGCAGCGACTAAAGCGTGAAGAGCAAAGGAAGAAGCGCGATGCAGAACGCAAGGCCCAAGAGGAGGAGCGTGCCCGCAAAGAAGCCGAAAAGCAACGTCGCCTAAAGGAAGATCGAGACCGACAAGCCGAAATCGAGCGTAAGCAACGCGAACAGAAGGACGAGAAAAGGAAGCGTGACGAAGCGAAGCGCAAGGAGAAGGAGGAGCGAGAGGCCCGAGAGAAGAAGGCAAAGGAGGACCAGGAGAACAAGACTCGAGAAGAGCAGGCTAGAAAGGACCGCGAGCTGGCTGCGAGAGCCGAACAGGAGTCCCGAGAGAGGTTTGGAAAAGCATACGCACAGCCTAAATCTGCATTGCACGTTGGTTCTATTCCCCTGATACCGTCGTCTCTTCCGCCGCTCCAAGCTGTCCCTGGACCTCTTCAATCGCCGCATTATTCAGTGGCTTCGCCTGCTGTTCCTAAAGCCTCGACTCCTGCCAGGCCACGACAACCGTCTCAGCAAGGCTCTCACACATCCTCGCCGCATTCGCAAACTACTTCCTCGGACTTTCCTTTCCAGCCCTCAATCTCACCGCGCTCTTTGGCACAGTCGTATTCTGGAGCTCCAGGCATTGGTGGGAGACCGGGTCACCAGCAGCACCCGCCTTTACACCATCCTCAACCTTCTGCCCCTTTATCTCCCCTAGGCCGCACCAATCCACCTGGTTTCCCGGGACTGGGCGGCTTACCATCAAACCCACCCGGTCTACCTGGAATGGGGGGCCGACCGATTCCCCCAGACTTGCAAATGTACTCTCCAAATTCTGGGATGATGAGCCATCGTGGGTTCGGCGGCTCGGGTGGAATTCCTGCGCCGCCTGGAATTAATGGAGTCCGTCCTATACATCCAGGTCGCGGGTTCCCGCCCGACCTTGGACACGGTCTCCCATTCCCAGGACATCATGGGGTGCCTGGCGCATTCCCTATGCAGCAACCTGGCTTGGCCAAGTCTCACTCACGACAACAGTCTGGATCATTCGAGCGCTCTCCTCTAGATTCAACTGGTCAGCCTTTCCCAATCTCACGACCAAGTCCGATCAAACGTCCTCCAAGCACCGCGCAGGACCACCATAATGGCGGGCATGCTTCTTCCCGGCGAGATGTGGATGATTTAAGTACGCAGCTCGGTAGCAGTGCACTTCTCGATGATACAGATGATCCCTACTCGTCAAAACTCTCCCAGTCGTTGCCTGGTGCTTCTGCACCGGGACAGTTCCCTCCGCCATCGAGGGCCAGTTTTCAAGGATCTTCTTTGTTTGCAGAACCCCTGGGTGAGTCTGCGTGTCAGCACAAAATTCCGAAAAGTGAACTAACTAACTTGGATACTAGGAGCTAAACATGCGCCTTTTGCAACTGGTCCTGGTTGGGGTGCTCCTGCGCCCTTTGGTTCCGCATTCCCTGGTGCTTCTACCTGGGGAGTAGCGACTGGTGAGAATAAATCTCAAATTACTACTAAACATGTCGCTTATACTTATATAGGAGGGAGCGGGTGGGCCCACAATCACAATGCCTTTGCCGCCGGCGGCCATCATCGCATTCACACGACTCGACCTGTTACAATCCGCCTTCTTGTGATTCAAGCTTGCAAGCATCTCAACACGATCAACCCCCAGCCGGGCTCGGGCGGCTACCATGATGTGAACGCGGTTCTCAGCCAGGTCGGACAGTTGCGCCCATCTAGCGAGCCCGCAATCTCACTCGGTGAGATGCTCGACATCTGTGACACGGAAGGTAGCCCTCAGAATGGCGGTGGATCATTCTCCATCAAAGAAGACAAGAATGGCCAGTACGTAAAGTTTGAACCGGATACCAACAGTGCGATGGGTGGCCACCGAGGAAGCATTGTACCAGGTGAAATTGGCAGCCCAGTCCCTGGAAACAGCAATCCTGCTGCTTTTGGCGGACTTGGTGCACCCTCTGTATTCAGACAGTATTCCTCCCCCCCGACTGGACTGTTTGGTGGGACTTCCTAATCCCGCCATGTTCAACGAACGGCCCTCGTTTTCATCATGAGCCTGACTTCGAGTTGCAACCTCGGTGACCTTTGTCTTCTTGCGCACTTATTTTCTCCCTATGGAAATGATTTCTGGAATGCCCCCCTTTACCCCTTACCTCTTACCTTTTTTCCCTTTTCTTTTTTTTCTCTCTTGTCTCCTTTCCTTTTCTGAATTGAAGCGTCACGGATTAACGTCTCTCATCCACACGTCCTCAAATATTTGATATGTTTTCGCTGCTATGGGTTTCATCTGATCGGGTTTTCGTTTTTGAATGTGTCCAAGTTGGAATGACTTGAACTGGGGCATCCGGGTTTGCTATTGTGTATGGTATGATCTACTTCTTTACTGGCCTTTCTGCATTATGCAGCGATATCCGTGGGGATTGGGACAATCTCCCTCTCCATCATTGTCCTTGACTCAATTGCATGATCGAAGGTTTCTTCTTCGTCCTTTTTCCCCTGATCACCTGCAAGCGTATCCCCTATGGAGATTTTTTTTTAGTAGATACCTATGTATCCAAGATGCTGTTTCACCTCCCCCCAGGGCTCCCGATCGCATCATGGATGATGACGGAGCCGCGTCAATGCATTCCAAGGGAAGGTTGTTTAATAGTCCTACCCAGGTAGTATTATGGGTGCTACCAGGAGCAATTTATCACTTAAAAAAAAGTTCAAGGGTCTGGAATTATCCAGAGACGATAGTACAGTTGTATATACTCAAACGAAAAGAACAAACCATCATAGCAGAGGCCGGCTTCCAGAAAAAAAAAATAAACGAGACGTTAAAAGAAACAAGGAAAAGGCTCACTAAGGGATTAGGAACCAGATTTACTGAGACCAAAGTAGCCCTTCATACAGATACAATGG